GAGAGATGAAGAATGCTAAACACTCCTACCAATCTAGAGCTGCACTTTATGGGGCTTAATGGGCCTAGGACATCTCTGAAAAAAAGTGGAGAAAGGGAACAAGGAATGCTCAACTTCTGAGAACCTTCAGCACAAGTGCACATCTGCCAGAGAGCTGCATCCAGCCTCCTTCTCCGACCTTATCTCTTATTACTTCCCACACTTTCAGTCCTGCAAGCATCATCCTGATGCCATGATGTTGTCCCAAACCTCCATGTCTGGTACACTGCATCTCGTCACTACTCTCACATGCCCTACTCCCTCAACACTCTGCCTCCCAACCTTATATCCAGCTAAACACTTCATTATCTCCTGAGCTCAGATGGGATTAGACGCATTCAGGGTGGTATGGCCATAGACTTCTTCATTATCTTGAGCATACTTTTATATGCTCACATTGTGTGTTCTTTGCTCCCTTATTATTTCAAAGACAGAATACTAAATAATCATAACATTTTAAAATACTTTTTGCCTCTTCTTTTTCCTGTTTTATTTCTGCAAAGGGGAAAAATATTCCACCACAATCCTCTATGTTAATTTGTGATACATTATACCAACTATATGGCACATGCTTACAAATGCCAATTTTAGTCTCCTAAATAAGCATATGAAATGGGTAATGTTATCACCTCCATTTAGTTGATAGAAAACTAAGGCATCCATGAGGGGCTCTGGCCAGAGGTATGTATGAGATAGATGTGCAGAGGTAAGGAACTTCAGGGGGCACATACCTAAAACCTCCCAGAATGCATGGTTAGTGGTTGGAAGATAAGCTATAGGGCAACAAGTCCAAGTATAATCAAAACACTTGCCTTAAAAAATGAAGGCTCTGGCCCTCATCCTCCCAACATTCTGATTTATTACTCAGATTGGCCATGGGATCAGGCATGCAGCCGACTCCCTCGCCTTCCCCCATCCTTCCCCTACCCTCTACATGGATTTCTGCATGGTACGCTTCTTCATTCTTTCACCTTTTCTTCCTAATTCTACCAATAGAAAGCCTCAAAATCTTCATTTCAGGGCTCTTTTCTCCTGAGTCTTCCTCTGGGCTGTCTTAGAGGCTAAACTGCACATGGACTCCAAGTAGTCTCTCACCGTTTGCCCCATGCCACAGACACGAACAACAACACATAGAGAGCATAGAAAAATTCATCCAGGGCCACAAAGGGCAACCCTCTGGCCCTGCACATGAGTTGAAGTCTTAGCATCCCATCTGAACTCTGTCCAGGCAAACCTCTGCCACTTTGCCTGGTCATGCTAGAAGCCCCCTTTCGTGGGCAGATGCTCATCGAGAGAACCAGAAGTCCATGGGCTGTGGAAGCAGATGGTTTACGGAGAATTATAATAAGTTTCTTTCTTAGATATCTGTTAAATTGCAGGAAATACGTGCTCTGTTGGTTGAATATTATCAGATACAGAAGTCCCAAGAAGAACAGGAGGCTAAAGAAGGAACTCTCGCCAGCCAATGTCAGGGGAAGTGGGACGATAGAAAGATTTGTAACTAAATCTAAATACTCTAGGAATATGCAGCTATTGACATCATCTTTGATTTAGAAAATATCTCTCCATGGCAGATATAGTAAAATAATATTTTAAAGATATATCGAAAATAAAATTTAAAAGAAAACATAGCAGAAAACAGCTGCTAGAGCTATAGATAGTTAATGGAGAGAACTACAATCAAATGTCAGGGTGAAAAAAGGTTGTAGGAATGCCTTTCAACTCAATAACATTTCATCATTGATTTCCAGGCTACAAAAGAAAATTTCCATCATTATGGCCTTCCTGATTCCCCCCCTAAATCACATAATCCTTGCTCCTGTATGCTTCCTACAGCTATACTATCTTCCATTCATTTAGTAATGATCCTACAGTAATGATCCTCACAGTATTGCTGTTTATCATCAATTTTTTAAAAAATGGAAAATAAATAAAAATTGAAAATAACAAACATGGAAATCACTTTAACTCTATGGAGTATTGCTTTCAGTCCTTACATGAGCTTGTTGTTGTCATTTTGGGGTGTTTTGCTTTGTTTTGGTACTAGGGAATGAACCCAAGACATGTGCACTGAGCTACAACCCCAGTTGTTTTGAGACAGGGTCTCACTAAGTCGTTCCATTGCCCCAAACTGGGCTCATACTTATGAGTGTCCTCCTGCTGCAGCCTCCCGGAGTTCTGAGATTACAGGCATGTGGCACCGTGCCTGGATATATGTGCACTTTTTAAGAAAATTCAATTTACGTATATAATATGGTGTTCAGTTTAATTTTCCTCATGACATTAAGTATTTCTCTATCATTCAATATTATTAAAATCAGATATATTTGTTTTAACATTATTTATAAGCATATCTTATCATACCTACTGCATTGTATGTTCCCTTGGGTCCTCTATATTTCATGTATCTATCCTGTTGTTCTATATATTGTAGTTCCAATAAGTGCTTATTGAAACACAGTAATCTCATTAAATGAGATCTGTTGCAAGAGTCCTTCAATATTTATCAGTGTAAAAGGAGAAAGGAAATAAAACAGAAATTTAAATACTGCTAAAAATAATTATAAATTATGCTAGGCAGAAAGTTGCTACCCTGCACCTAGGTCTTGCCTCCAGGGCTGATATTCTTCTCCACTTTGGTTTGCAGAAAAGGAATGAGAAGTCTATGAATGAGCCCTGGGTGGCAAAACAAGGATGAAGGGACTGGGCGTAGTCGGGGTAAATACCTCAGTGTTTTAGCCTCACTGGCAGTCATTTGACTCTGATTCACAATTACAGCCAACAATTTCACCCCAATAAATGCCCGCTTTATCCAATGAGCTTACCCGTGTCATAGCTGGTCCCTCTGAGCTGCTGGGTGAGAAGCAAAGGAGATGAAGTCAGCGTGTCTTCAAAAGGAGAGTAATGTAGCCATCCTCAGGGAGCGGGCTCGGAGACACTGCTATTACTGAGCTGTCACCACAAACACTCAGCAAAGTGTCCCATTATTTCTAGAATTGTCTTTGTTGTTTAAAGAAAGTGCTTGCCAGGTAATACGGTGGAAGAGTTGACTAAATTGTTCCTTACCCACTTTTTAAAAAATTACATTTAATGGAGGATAATTAAATAACATGGGGGAAATGCTCACTACGATTTTTGGTGAAAATAAACACAAAATGCATCCAGGCATGGTGGCACATGCCTGTAATCCCACCACTGAAGAGGCTGAGGCAGGAGGATTGTCATGAGTTTGAGGCCAGCCTGGACTATATAGTGAATTAAAACCCAACTTGAACTACATAATGAGACTATGTCTGAAAAAAACAAAGCAACAAAACAAACAAAAAAAAAAGTCCAAACACATATATAAAATGCAAACCTTAATAAACACACACACATATGTATGATTTCAAATTTATGGAAAATATATGCTTATAGGAAAGGAAGGAAATATACCAAAATACTGGTAGTATTTCTCTATGGATGATAACTCGTATGTGATTTTAACATTTTCATTACATATTTCTGAATTTTCTACACTGACCTTTAACATTATAATGAAACTATATCTGAGAAAATAAAATAATAGATATCATATACATATAATGTGGTACAGAAAGTCAAGGTACAGGAAAGAGTAGAAAAAAAGAGAGATATTCTTTATTTTTTCCCTTACTGATAAGCATTGTGTCTCCTATAGGACACTTTGTCTACTAAACGTCAAGCTCAAATTTGGTAGTGGCCAATTCTCTATTAAGTTATCTTTTTTGCTCTCTTGCCCACAGTACTGTTAAAAAACAAGATTTCCCTAGCCTTGATGTTATTGGACTCTCCTGGCTTTTGATTCTCCTGGATGTCTACACCAAAATGTTACTGGGTTCAGGGTTGCTCCCTGCTCCTTCTGGAGTTGGAGTCTAGGTTCTTGTTTCAAAGAAAGAATGAATGAAATGAACAAAAAACAGTGGCAAAGTTTATTTGCAAAAGTAAAAGAGAAAACAGACAGAGACTCACTCGGCAGAGAGAGCTTGGGCCAAGTAAAAGAGGAAAAAACAAGCTGAAAGAACACCCTGGAGAAAGTGGGGCAGACTGTCATGGGGCACGATAGCAAGCTCTTCTTGGCATCTGTGCCATTTTATACTGTCCAAATCTTGAAGAAACCCATGAGAATGTCTATATACAGGTCCTGCGAGGCAGTGCTGGGATTCCATGCCTCAAGCTGACCTCAGGTCTAGGCTATCCTATCAAAAAATCCATGTGCAGGCTTTGAGAACTGTTCTGCACATTCTAGGATCTTGAATTAATGGTCACACCTACTTCCCCAGCCAGCTTTGTCATGTCACTGACACTTAGCACAAGCCCACTAAATTAAAATCAGGGATTTATTTATTTATTTATTTATTTATTTATTTATTGTATGTAGTGCAGGGTCTCACTACATAGATTGGACTCATGGTGATTCTCCTGTTTTCAGCCTTTCTAGCACTGGGATTACAGGGATTATAGATGTGTGCACCACGCCCAGTCTCAATGGATCTCAGCTTGCCCCGGAGGCAAGGCCATCATGGCACACCAGGGATCGAACCCCAGCCGCTGTGTTCTGCCTAAGCTGGCACTTTAATCAGCTGAGCTATCTGGCTGGCCATAATCAGGGGTTTAAAGAAACACTTTTCTTGGTAATTTCTTAGAACAGAACAAATAAAATGAAGACAAAAGTGAGAGGCCAGCTAGGAAGTATGTTACTTTTGTTCAGCTCCTACAGCACCTAGCATATTTTGCTTCATAGTTTCTCAGTAAAATAACAATAGAAAGGAACACAATGGAATGGAATAGCTGCCATCTGTTCACATCACTCCTCCAACTCAGTGTGGGCCCTGAGGTTTAACCTACATTTGACTTTTACTGTCCAGTGCAGGAACATCTTGATGCTACCTCAGAAACCCAGAAGAATACTTTCTACCTAGATAAAATGTTATTTCTACAGGGGCCACATTCCCCCGATTGCCCAAAGCCTTAGAATATTCCATGTGATGCCAACTCAAGCTATAGAATAGGGAGTTGGGATCTGGAGCTTCCAGTAAGGAAAGAAACACAAGCAACCCCCTCAGCTGGTATTCATATGTCTCTCTTACTGGCTTGGACAAACCTATCATCTCTAAGTATACTGTTTACTCCTCTACCCTGTACTATAACAGTGCACTTCAGACTTTTGGGCAAAGTTACAATTTTAAGTCTTTTCTCCCATTATCTCCCAAACTAAGACAATATTTATGTGGTGGTGTTGCCAGAGGTATGCATGAGATGGATTTGCAGAGGTAATGGACTTTTGGAGCCACACACCCAAACTCCTCCAGAATGCATGGTTAGTGATTAAAAAGTAACTTTACAGGGCTACCAGTCCAAGTAGAATCAGAACACATGACTTAAGGAGTCAATGCTCCTACCCTTGTCCTGCCCATATTCCAATTTATTAGAGGCTCTAAGACCAGTCGTGTAGCAGTCCACCATGACCTGACTCTGGTTTTTTGTCTTTTATTTTTGCTTCCTGATTCTATCAATTAAAAAGCTATAGAAGCTTCAGTTCAGGGCTGCCTTTATGAGGCTCTTACTCTAAAAGGAGTTGGTTAAGAGCAGTCCCTGTGGACCTTCTTGGGTTTTTGTTGTTGTTTTTCCAATATATTTAGTACAGGGCCTGCAGGGTCCCACTACAGAGATCAGCCTCATAGTGATTCTCCTGTTTTTAGCCTCCCAAGCGCTGGGATTACAGGCATATGCCACCACGCTCAGTCTCAGTCTCCATCTCAGTGCCCCCTGGAAGTGGGGCCAGGCGGGATTGAACCTCTGCTGCTGTGTCTGCCCAAGCAGGCACTTTAACTTGCTGAGTGATCTGGTCGGCCCATTCAACTTAATTTTAATATTTATAAATATATTCACTTACATAGGATACCTACTATTCCTACTGGGTTTTAGGGTGCTGATTCTTCTGGAGGTTTCTATATTCTTTCTGTCTAGAGCAAAGAATTGGTCAAGACAAGCACAAACAGTAGGCACCTGTTTTTTTTTTTTGTTTTGTTTTGTTTTTTTTTTCGTTTTGTTTTGTTTTTTTCCGGAACCGGGGGATTGAACTCAGGCCCTTGAGCTTGCCTGGGAAGCACTTATTCTACTGAGCCATCTCCCCAGCCTCAGCCACGTTTTCTTAATGCAGAAAAAGAAACAGGCTCAGCAAAATGAGTGTGAGTGAAGTAAAAGTAGGAAAAGCACACCCTGTATGTGAGGGCTTGGCACTGTGTAAAGGCAACCACAGTGACAGAAATTCAGTGATGCCCATCCTTTGCATATCACCTCTCCTCAAGCTGACATCAAGTCTAGAGCATCCTATGGAAAATCTGTTCAAGTTCTTGAGAAAAGTCTATGCACAGAGCTTGGTTCTGCGCATGCATTCTGGGATTTTGTACACCTATTCCTCAGCCAGCTTTGCCATGCCCTAATCTGCGCCACTATGAATTAGGTTCTGTATTAGAGGCCGTTAAAATGATGAGTCAGCTCCTCTCAAAGACAATACAATCCAAACTAATTACTGAAAACTGAAGTGAGTTAACTAAGACACACTATTCCAGTAAACTAAATTACCTACAAGAAATCATGTTAGCAATGGTGGGGGTGGGGTGTAGGAGAAAATACAAAATTAATATAGCCATTCTATATAAATAAGAGCCTACTCTAATTGAACACAAGATGCCAATATTTTTATTAAAAATTAATTTCCTTCAAAAAGCCAGAGACACAATTTTCAACTTTAAGAAACAGTTCTTCAGGTATCTTAGCTTTTCAATTGATCCAGTTACAATGATCTTAAATTCAACAACTAGAAATTTGTGTTACCCTGTAGTTGATCTGACAGAGCCCAGGTTCATGTATTACAAAGTGTACATGAAGGTGGAGAAAGACAGGTTTGTTGAAGGTCATGAAGAGATGGGTGGCAGAAAAGGAACAAAGACGCAGACAGTCAGGCTCTTGGGCTCGAGAGCAGGGAGGAGAAAAGGGTTTGCGTGTGCTTTGGCCTGGGGATACACTGAGTGCTGCTAAGGGAGTCAGAACTCAGGTGGGTAGGGGCGTGAGGTGGGTGGGAAGGCTTTAGGGTGGTGTCCGAGCTTAACTGGGTGGACTGGAGAGGATTCCTCAGCCCTCAATATCCTACCCCTACTAGTTGGAGTCTTTAAATAAATATATAT